GTCCAAGATACCCATTGGTATCTGTGTACATTCAACCATTAAGGAAAACAATACATTGGCAGTGGAGTTAATCAAAAGAATAAGAAGAATAAAAACCGCTAGATTTCTACCACAAACAATGTAGGGGATATTAACTGGTTGTCAACATTCTTGAGCATGGCCAATTATAAGAGGTAATTACAAAAAGACTGACAAGTGGAAGATTGCAAAATATCCATTGATAAAAGACTGATATTTAAAGCTGATACACAAAGAAGAAGAAAATATTGATAGACGAATAAAGTTATTAATTTTGGTGAGAAAACTATTGCCAGGGATAATATGAGAGGAAAAGGTACTCTGTTTATAATGAAAATGACATAGTCAGAATCAAAAAGATGTTGAGACATCAGGATGTCTGCATAGAAAGGTCAGGTGAAAGGTTAATGTTGCCAAGAGGTGAGATCTAAACTCAACTGTAAAATTGTGAGTTGATTATTTAAGACTTGAGAAAAGATTGTGAATGGCCAGTTATTAATAATACAGCAAAGGGGCTGGAGAAAAGCTCAGAGGAAGAGCATGTGATACTCTTGCAGAGAGAGAACAGAAGATGGATTCTCAGCACCACATCAGGAAGGTCTCAACCATCTGTACTTCTAGCTCCAGCAAGATACCATATCTCTGGCATCTGAAGCTTGTTAGGCAAAATGCATTTTTACATGAATCTATCTGACCCCATCACATACATAAGCAAAAGCAAAAGAAAAAATCAAATTATAAAAGGAGATAAAACAAGAAATCATGGAGGTTTACATAAAATTTGCAGATAATTAAAGATATTAGAATTCTGAAATGATATTACTATTTTATTTGTCAATTAGAAGGCTAAGATGAAGTTATGTGAGTTTAGTGGGGATGTGAGAATGCGAGAATGAAGTGACTTTCCTGAGGCTTTCAGAAATCAGTGAAACACTTCCAGTGAACACTTTATCTATTAGAGAGAAATCAAAGTACATTATATGAAAAAGTCCATTTGTAATAAAAGGAAAATAGAAAAAAAATAACAACAAAAAAGCTTTTGGTCTACTGATTCCATTCTAAGAACTCATCCTAAAAGAGTTAAGCACATAACTGGCAAAGGTGTGCAAAAGCTATGAACTTAAAAATAACGGCCAAATGTTGTCCTTTAGTGAAAAAATCCTAGCTAGAGAGCACTAGCATCAGTGTTCCGATGCAGACCAATCTTTATCACAAGCTGAGCGGAAAACAGATGCATTGTTTCAGTTCTTTTCATTAAAATTTAAGAAAAGAAAACAGCTGGAAGGGAATAAAAAACAACAGTGTTTGTTTTTAGGGTATACCATGTTATTTTTATTATTTTAATCTTATTTCTGCTGCTTGTGTTTTCTAATTTTCCTACAAGGGCTATAAATTAATTATGCAATCGAAAAAGATCATACAATCTTTCGCAAATATATTTTACAACAATTATTATGGCTATGATTGAAATGGAAATCAAAGTCATTTTTCCTTTTCTCTTTGCTCATTCCCTGAATCCTCGACTGATGAACAGAACCACAAATTTTTCCTCTCTGTGGAGTGTTCTTATTTGACTATGCAGTAAACAAAGATAGAACAGATTTAACAGAAGATACTGCACTTTTGATACGCTTTCCAGCATGCCACAATCACCAAGAAATGATTTCCTAATATATAGACCCAATTTCATGACTGCCTGGGAGTATGACCTTGGACAGATCATTGCTTTTGGACAGCTCATGTTCGTGCCTCGTTTAAAAATGTGTAAAAACATAAAACACATCCTTATGGTGAAAATGGTCTGCAAAGATTTTATAAGCCAGTGAAGAACAGGCTAAATGAGGAGGATTATTCCCTGTCATTTTCCACCCTTGAACTTCTCTCATCCATTATTCATTCCTTGTGTTTTCAGAGATGTCCTAAGTCTGGTATTTTCAAAGGAAATGCATCTCAATGGATACAGGGGACTGGCGCTCTATCTGTCCAAGATAGATATTGCCATTCTGATATTAATAGTTCAAGATGGGCTTACATGTTGAAGAGCTACCCAGGGTTCTACTTTTCTTATACCTACTGATGCAGCTTTGAAGCTGGGACTCTGATGAAGTAAGATAACATGAAATAAAAGGCTGATTTGTACTAAGAGGGTTTTCCTTTTATTTGTCTAAAGATGCTTAGAATGGCTTTTGACAAACACAATAGCGATTATTTACACAGCATAATGGAAGTAAATACTCAAGGAGAAAATGAGTTGATACTTTTCCTCAGCATGATCTACACCATTATCTCCTGTTTTCTATGGAAAATAGTCTCTGCCGATGAATTTGGTAACTCAGTAGGCTATTAATAGGATGTGGAATGTGATTATTCCTTTTCGATTACTTCAATATGTAATTACTTTTAGGAGCCAGCAGAAAGTAACTCTATTAAATGATAATTATAGGACTGTGTTTGCTTTGAGGTTCTGTAATAGCACTAAACATGGGAGTTTTCATTAACTGTTTGCCATAGTTAATAAAGTAATTTTTCTTAAGAAGTAGCAATTCTCTGCAAAAGTATAGCTCAACAGTAGGATTAGTCTCCTAAAAGAGAAGGTAGGGAAGATGGATTGTGTAGTTGGCTGGCTCATCAGTGGTAATATAATCTCCATGAAATTGTAGATGGCATCCACAAAGTACCATGGTAAAACAAAATACTTATAAACCTCCTGAGAACAACATGCGACAGTACAGTGTTTACGGAGGTTAATGGAGACAAAATATGATTTCATATTAAAAAAAACCCTGAGCAGGTGATGAAGATGAAGCTGAGCTGTTCAGTGAAGCCTGGAACAGCCTGCTGCTTGCAGGAGGCAAGCTGTGATGCAGATCTTGATAGTAATAGAGCCAAGCATTAGATTTCAAATGTAATTTGGTGATTGTACCAACACACAGGTCAAGGATAAGAGCACAGCCAGAGTTTTCTGAACAGCCAATCAAATCTCCTTACTACTGGCAAAGGTAAGTAACAATTAAACTAATAATAACATTGCAAAATGTGAAGAAAAAAAAAAACAAGCTGTCAACCCAGACTAGTCCTGGGAACTAACTTGGAAAGATGGAAACAGCTAACTGCTGTGGCAGGATTCCCTTGTGCTAAAATACAGATGCACAAATCCTCAGAAAGCCTTATGGAATCTTTAC